GTGTTGAAGGTGTTCCTGGAGAACGTCATTCGCGACGCCGTTACCTACACCGAGCACGCCAAGAGGAAGACCGTCACCGCCATGGATGTTGTGTATGCTCTTAAGCGCCAGGGCCGCACTCTGTACGGCTTCGGCGGCTAAGCGTGAAAGCTACAGCGAGGAAATCTACAGACCCAAAGGCTCTTTTCAGAGCCGCCCAATTGCTCCTAAAAAAGCAAATGGTCATGTACGTGTGTGTGTTTGTGTCCGACTGATGTATCTACATGTAGATATTGAAAGATTGCTGATAGAGATTGATAGCTGAGTGGAACCGGGTTTTATGGCTCCATTGTTTTCGAACAGCCGACCCATTTCCTTTTTGTGACTAGAACGGTAATATTTAGATCAGTATCCCGTCAATATAACTAAATTTCGACTGAAAACCGCTCTCAGTTGCGATTTCATTCACTGCATCGAAGATAAGGGAACTTGATAAAAGAACATCTTATTTTATTCCTATGGTGGGAGTTGCTATTCAACTCCGGTAATATTTCTATGGTTAATCAGGTCATGTGTGGCTTTGACACAACCAGACTCCTTCAAAAATAACGTCCCGTGGACCGTAGTGTTACATATTTAAGTAGACTAATGGACAGGACAGGTATAGTTGGGGAAAACAGCAGTAAACCTAAGCAATGGCGGAATGTCCGGTAGATTAAAATTTATTGCCATGTACGCGGTAAAACAGTAAGTTATGCCATATAATGAGAATGTTATTTTGCATGTTTTGTTTGGGCACAGTTTACACAGATTAAACACAAGATACAATATAAGAGACAGTGCAATGTAAACTTATAAACATAGTACAAGAGACAAATAAATGAATATGACACGGACATGAGACAAATTCCTTAAGTAGAAGTAGACAGAATGTGCAAAGTCTGCAGTATAGTATAGAATGGGCCCTGATGCAAGCGGTAGAGAACACGAATGATATGTAGGAATAAATATCCAAGATAAGTATGTATCGCTAACAGTGCAAATGGCAATAAAGTGATATAATGGACAAAGTGTTGGTGGATGGCAGGGTTGGCGTAAAATTGAGGTCTGCGAGGAGGGGGGGCTGTTCCGGGTGACCTCGAAATCAAATCGTGCTCGAAAGTCAGTTAAATTTGCAAAAAAGCCGTAAATTAAGATGTTATTACTGACAGCTGCCATAATGTCTCCTGAATGCCTGTGTAAAACATTT